TAACAATTTGAAAATGCTCACAGCAATTATAAAGTTTAAAAAAGGATTTCTAATAGTGTACTAATAGGATATTAATTAAATATGAAACACTTTTTTATTCCACACCTTTGATCACAATATCGTAGATATTAGATGCAATGAAATAAAATCCACAGTATGGGACAGAATCGTGTCCAAAATCCACAACAAGAAATCGTCCAAAATATCAAATTCGGAAGTACTAGGCAAGCTCTACACAACAGTCGCAGGGAAAGATTTCAAAAGTCCAAATGCAGTCCATGTCACATAAAAAAACAAATCTTTAAACAAACAAATCTAAATTTAAGCGTAAAGCGATGCAAAACATACGAACAACATATTTAAAGTCGATTTCATCACTAATATCACTTAAAATAAATGGCTCAAAAACCATGATGCCAAGCCACAATAAAAATAAAAAAATAATTGTCAGACTTAAACAAGCTTCCTCAATTGTGTAATAAATCTTTTGAGATTATTTTATTGACATTATGATCTGATAATGACATCTATAGACGCTAAAGATTTACTTCAACAAATATTTCGCTATTCGTAAGTGGAATTCTTTGCCCGCGCACAAGTTCCCTCCTTACTACAATCTGGGGTCCTTTAAGAGAGGCGTGAAGAAGCATTTTTGCAGGCCGGTAAGGTGAGGATGGTTGGTGTGGCAGTTTATAACTGCTGTACCGGCTATCTTCGCCTTTGGACTTTATCACCACTTAACATCAGGTGGGGAAGAGTCATTACCTGGCTATATGAAAAAAAAAAATGTTTATGTCAACAAAAATATTTTCATTAAAATGTTGCCAAGACTGCTGTGTCCTCTTATGCTTGGTTGCCCGAGCAGGTTTATAATTATACCGCACACGATCGGTCGCCAGTGTCTGGCTTGTTGTCTAGCAGGGAGTACCGTGACAGCTGTGATGCCACCGCTCCTGGTAGTTCATGTAAACACCAGGTGCAGGTGAGGTTGCCAGTTGAGGCTGACTAGATGTTATTGTCATTATCCCCCTTACCCACTTAGCTAATAATTACCCACGACAATATAATTAGTACTTCCTTTTTCATACTGTCAATAGCCTATTGCCATTTGATGGTATCAAACCTTTTGCCTACATTTGTTACGCGTTTGATAAAGTTGCGCCGCAAAGCCATTGCGTTGAAACATAAATGGTGCTTTAAACACACAACAATAGGGGCCAAAATTCTAAACAGCCAATGATGTGATGCGAAATCCTTAAAGCCCGATAAAAGGTGGACGGATAAAGGCACGAGTCGGCCACCTATCACGGTGGGATTAGCGAAAAAAGAGCTACTAACCGGGTGCCCTTATCTTGACAGGCGCAAGGGTCAGAATTGAATAAAAACGGCACATTTATCAAGAGCTTCCCACCGAGTAACAAGCCCGTGATATACCGAAGGTCTAACTGCGCCGACGTTTTGAAGTATACAACGAATTATCTTTGAGTTAAAGGGAGCTCCCTATTGATTATCGGGAACCGTATTCTTTTTTCAAACTTTTCGTCGAATTTGTGCTGAGCGTATATTTTTAGAAATTTCTTTTGCATGTTTTTGTTATATTTGCATGCATACCCAAACACGCAAGTAACTGTCGGTCGCAACCACGGAGTCTGTAAACGATCCCAAACGTCAAGAACAATGTAAACTGTTAGTAATTGGGCTATATAGCCGTGCATTTTATACCCTAAAAGTATTTTATTTTCTATACTAGACTGGTAGATAAAGGTTTAGCACGCACGCGCCGCATTTCCATAAAGACTTCACGAAACGCGGCGAATACAGTGCTGATGGATCTGTGCGAGGTTCCATATGATTGCATACAACGAATTCTGAATACGACGCTTGTAGTGCGGACTTATGTGCGATCACCTTAAGCAAGAAGACGAGAAATACGCGAGCTTCCAGAAACAAGAAAGCTTCATTAATTACAGTGCACGCAAGTTACTTAACTTCCACACTCGCATTCTGAAACCACTATTAACCAGTACTCCATGGATTTCGCCATTCCTTTTTGTTTCGCTTAGTGCGTTTCATTAGTGTACCAAAAGAATCGTGTCACTTAACAATCTCTTAAGAGTTCGTTTGTAAGCGTCCAGATAGCTAAAAGCCTGTATAACTCTTTGGCCCAAATTTCTAATAGCGTTCAAGAGACGCGCCTCCCAAAACTTAGCTTGTATCTTAAGCGACAGAGTGTTCTCTTAAAAAGTTTTGAACTTCCCGTTCAAATTTTGAAACTGAGTGGGTTTTAATTTTGAAATACGCAGCCCTACTGTCTGATTTAATCTGGATTCTGTGCACTGATTCACGCTAATAATGCGGGATAGTACTAGGGTTGCCAGATCGAGAAGTCAAAATATCTGAATAACATTTTAAAATGACGGGATCCGCCATCAGACGTCCAACGTCCTAATTAAGCTAGACGCGGACAGGGCACAGGATAAACGAAATTTGCATCGTCATGTTCGTTTGTCGGGAGATTTCGTTAATAGTCGGAAGTTTTTTATATGTTAAAATGGTGGCAAACAAGCGTACGGCCTACCTGAAGGTTAGAAGCCGCCATAGCCTATAGACTCTTGCGATACTACAAATATCACTCGCGTCGTTGCCTAATCCCATCCCCTACCCCGTGGAGCTCTTTTTTTGTGACGCAGGTAAAAGCTCTATTTACAGACGACGGCGCCTTTAAGAGGCACACCGCCGAAAGGACCTCACACCTGGCTCCCGCAAGCTTTACGAGCCCCCGCAGTGGCTGCCCACTGAGGACCCCGTAACTCTTACGGGCGCTTTACGGCATAATATCCGCTAAAAATCCTGCGAATACCCTCTAAGCTGATTAGTGCGAAACCGCGGGATCGCCGTTTAGGGATTCTTCTGCATCTCCGCACCCTACCCCGTGGAGCCCTGGAACCTTACTCACTGCCAGAAATAAAACAATGTCGGCGGAATCCAGACGATTCCCGACCATCTGGCAACCCTAGATAGCACACAATATTGATGTAAGATCGTGTGAGGGATGAGCAATTCAATATGAAATAGGTACTATCTCGGAATTTTGCGTTCTGTCACTTGGCGATCAAAACGCTTTGAACGGTTTTCTACAGTAGTGTTTACTACGCCCCGCCTTCGCGTCGGACGCGCCAATCCGGACCGCCGCACAAAAGTAAGACAGAGAGCATTTCATTGATTGAATAATGAATTGAATTTCATTTGTTTTAGTTGCAATTTGTCATCTGCATTGTGATCGCGACAGCGCTATACGAAAAAGTAAGACAGCGATAATTACATGCCTATGAATGATTTTTTACTACGCCGCTACCGCAAGCGAATATGGCATTATGGGTGACAGAGCGGGTCTTTCCGCGAGTGCGCCTACTAGATTTCGGCTATCCACGTGACATTAAAGTAATTTAAGTTATTTACGGTATTGTTACCATGTACCTTGAGGCGCCATGATCACGGAGTTACTCCGTGATCATGGCGCTTGCAACATTGCCGAAATATCGGTAACTCGCTAAAAACAAGGTACATGGTAACAACCCGTAAATAACTTATATATCTATAATGTTAGTGACCATGAAATTTTAAAACAATATGTTATACACGTGAATTTATGAGTTCACAATATGCCCAGCAAAACATTTTTTTTGTATAAAAAGTACTTATTCTATCTTTTATTCCATTTTTAAATTAACTATCTGTGTACAAAATTCAAATCAATCCCGCTAAGCCGGTTTGAGCCAATCAGTAACAAATATCCAAACATACGAGTACAAACCTTCACATTTACAATTTTATTAAGATATACTGACTGAAATCGGGTCTTATTTAAATAATAATCAAAAAATGCAAATGACAAATAAAAAAAAAAAGAAAACAAAGCCCGACATCATGATTGCATGATTGATTACTATTGTCCTAATAAAATTGAAAAAGTTTGTATATTCGTAACACAAAACTTCCGAACAAATCCGAACGAAACGACAGGTGTCATATTTTATTTATATCTATGGATAATCAATTTTAGAAAAATACGCTATTTTATTTTATGCGTCTCCATTTTGAGCTTTCCCAATACAAGGCGGATATGACTGGCATGGTATTTTCAAGCGTATATGAGGTTGTCATAAGGCATAGCTATATTAACTAAAATAAAGTTAAAAGAGACGTCTATAATAATGCGCCTGCATTAAAATACGAAGGAACTCTACCTGTTATAATTTCAGGTACAAAATGATTTTACGCGGAAAAATCCCTAAACGGGGATCCCGCGGCTTCACGCTAAGCAGCTTAGAGGGCATTCGCAGTGTTTTTAGCGTATATTATATCATAAAGCGCTCGTAAGAGTTACAGGGTTCTCAGTGGGTAGCCACTGCTGGGGCTTGTGAGGCTTGCGGGAGCCAGGTGTGAGGTCCGTTCGGCGGTATGCCTCTTAAAGGCGCCGTCGTCTGTAAACAGTATTTTTTGCCTGCGTATAAAAAAAAGTACAAAATGATTTCGCTCATTTTCTTAACTTAGGGTATATCAGAGAAGGTATTCACATTTACACATATTTCTTGACCAAAAACAAAAAGTTGTAGTGACTGAAATAAGGTGTGAAAAGTATGAGAAACTAATTATTTAGTCTTAAAATCGTTATTCTATGACTATTAAGTAACTGAGTACCCTTATATGAGATCACGCCTACACTATTAAACAATAAAATGTAAATATCTCTAAGTTAATTTTTTATTATGATTACTTGTAACACCAACAAACCAAAATCGGAAGTGTACATTTTAAGCAAGCATCTTTTAAAAATCTGAATACACGCATCGGCTACAACATAAGGAAATCTAAATAAGACTGAGTCAACATAAGTGTGAGTTAATAGAAGAATTATCATTATGGCTATTTGTCACATCAACAAACCGAAATCGTAAGTACATTTATAACTATCGTTTACGATTCTGTCAGCACCGCTCGGCTACGGCAGTCGTAGGCCAACCGCAGCGCGTAGCACTCGCTCCTAACCTAACGCCATTCGCTACGAACTTCGTAGCGTGTGTAGCAAATTTGTTTTGTGACAAGTGGTAGTGGGAACGTGGAAGTGCCAAGTGAATTTACTCTGACGGTAAGTGATAACATTAAAAAACTTTTTATGTCATTTCAATATAATATACAAATGAAATTTCATAACTTCGGAACAAAATTAACTTATACAAAACGGATTATGAAACAAATCTTAAATAAGCTATTAAAAGTTATATTACTTAATATAAGTGTCTTAAGCTCATTATTTTATGTTATTTTCATGTGGATATAATAAATTTATCTAACTTCATAAAAATAAAATAAGAACTTCTTGAAACGTAAATAAATAAAATACTAAATACGTTATTTTATGATATCTATATTAAAAACAATAATTATTACTTATACTCCATACAAAATACTTCATTATATTATTATCTATATTTGAAAATACTAAATGCGATTATTGCCGAAATCTGCTATTTTTATAGCTTTTACTTTTAATGTTATTAGATATTTAAATGCCTTTTTTTGTCACGTTTACGTGTATAAACGTCTATTACTGGAAACCCATATTTTATTAGTTTTCCTAGCAGTGTTAAATATGTGTGAGTATTTAATTCAATTTCGTATGATGTAACAATTATTAATGTGAGATATTTGATAAACGGATCAGTAAGTTCTCTTCAATGGTGTTGACAACATTTACTTTATAGTTTATTAAAGTAAAATTATATTGAAATTAAATTGTATTTGATCTCTTTACCTAGTTTTATTTAGTTTTGGGTACATTATATCAGCTGCAAATTATTATACACATAGGGGTAGGCGATTTTTAATATTACTGTCGCATAACTATCTGTTACGAAATGTCTTATTATATAATGTAGAAATTCCTATAGAATTTTCAAAGAAAAATTAACAGTTTTTTAACAGAAGAATTCTATTTGAAATCCAGCGTACAAAAGTGTCAATCCCCTAATTTATTTATAAGCATTTAGATGGTCAGTGGCTAATTGTGAATGTTAGTAAAATTTTACAATAGCCGGTTATAAGATGGCTGACCAAAAATAATTTGCTATTTAAAAGGCAAGGTAAACTACATAATGGTCCTAGTTACAACTGCAGTAGGACACACAGATTTGGGCTGATGTTGTTAGGTAGGTACCATATATTTCTTTTTTTTCACAAATTGTTTAATTATTTAGAAGGTTTGAAATTTTAAATGTATTGCTGTGGCTATATTTCGGTGGTATTTAACTGTATGGACTATACATGTCCTGATAAACGTAGCCTTATCATATCGTGTTTTTTTAAACATATCTATCCAAAGTAATTCTTGTGACCACAGAAACTGAAACCAACTAAAAGGGCCAAGAATTAAAAAAAAACTTGCACTTTAAATTTGTTAAGACTCTTTTTGTAAATACATGTTTCCCAAATTTTAAATTATATAGCCTATGAGTCCACATTAAGCAAGTTTTTCTTTATTAAAATCATATTCCAAGCGAACAAAAGGCAAAACTTTATATATGATTAGATTGAATTAGAAACTCATTTCTGGTTGATGTTAAATATTAATTAAAGAGGAATTTATTATTGCTTTCCGGAATCCAGGAAATTGCCAAACCAATGGCTTTACTCTTTAATTGTTAGTACAATCGAATTGAAAAAGTTTTCAAACTCTATGTATATTACAATGTTACAAAATAAAGTTCAGTTTTTGATTTTTATATACGAAATAGCAGATATTTTTTATTTGCTTATCAACTTTTGAGACTTGCATTTTTGCAAACCTATTGTATTCTTATTATGTTCGATCATTTCAAACTGGCTTAAACCAATCAATTATAGTTATCAGCGGGATAACTACCATGTACCGTTTCTTATGTTAATGAGTATGAAAGTTTTAAAAAATATCTAAATATGGCTTAAACCAAACCCATGGCGATTCTGTAAAATTAAATCTAACTTCAGATTTCGGTAGCTGGCATTTCAGACATTAGTTTGATATGTATTACGCCATTACGCGGCAAAACGTCGTTAGAGTCTGTGCGGAAAGAGAATGGGATTTAGATTGGAGGGCGCTGTAGTACTTTTCTACTGTATTTGTAAGGTTTTATCCCTTTTAGACATGATTACATACAAAAAACCGCAAGAAATCACAACAACAAACAAATCCGTATCAATACAAAACTTTGACGATGTACAAATTGCTGGGTTTGATTGCCAAATGCCAAATCTTAATGTTAGTTCCGTTTTTCGCCACGCCCATTCTCTTTCCGCACAGACTCTATGACTGTAGAAGCAGCCAGTATTCGATATTTGACATTTGTCAGAAATCCGAATAAGTGAAATCATAAGTGAGATCGCATCTTACAGAATAGCTATGCTGGATCCTAACACACCAACACAAACACCATACTACTTGAAGGAAGTTTAAGTGAGGTCTTCTCTAAGATGGAGGTTACTCGTCCAAACGGGTGCTCCAAATCCATTGAGCCGAACTTCTCTCAAATGAATAGTTTTTTTATGTTAAAAACGGTGACAAACCGGTATTTCGGCCGCCTGATATCAGTCGCGCCGTGGCCTACTCTGACCCGATTTCCTACCCCGTGGAGCCCTGGAACCTTACTCACCAACAAAAACACATCACCACAAAAACGTAGTGTTAATATTGGCTTTCTTTAAATTTGATACATCATACAAAAATACATACAACCATAAATTTTCACCCTTCTACCAGCGACCCCAATTTTTATGGCGGTACGAAGTTCGCTGGGACAGCTAGTAGTATTATATTTTGACGTAAGATTGGCAATTATTTTCTTTAAAACCTCATGTTCCAAATGAGGAGCTGACGAACAAAACGGTATAATTCCATAAAATAAAATTTTACAGGAGCAGTAAAAAAATGGATGACATACCTACAATAAGCTTTTGGCGTGGTTTTTTTTTAAACGACATTGTGCAAAAATGTAAGGACGCTGCACCTCCGCCACGGATTAAACTACATTTGTTTGAAAGGTATTAAAGTCATGATCATCTGTGCCGAAGCGCATCAAATTCTATCCCGGCAGTCTTTAATTATTTTAAGTTAAATACTATAACGAACGAACATTATTGAAAAAAGGGAATTAATTTAGTTAGTTCGACACTACATTGGGGGCTCAGGTATTATAGGAGTGCTTCACAAGGTTCAAGGGTGCCCCCTTATGTTATTCTGCCGCACTAGAGTAAATCCAAAAATCCCCGCATGGGGTGTGGTTTTTTCAAACAATCTGTTCGTTATAATAAATTGTCTTCTTTGTAAAACGCAGCAACCACAAATCACCCAAACTTGTCCACGCTTCGGAGAAAACATGATGCCAGTTCATCCATATTAATTGACAGAACCGATAACCGTGTTCCAATGTCCAAAGCGTGTTAGATAAAAATAAATCAAGTGACAGGGAGCGCACAATCTCAACGAAGTAAGACGAGTGGACTATTTGCAACTGCAAATCCTTCAACCCCCCCTTACCGTTTAGAGGTGGCTCAGTAAGTACAAGCGCAGGATGGTCGGCAGGCGTTGTCGTATATCTGATTGTATAGCACGATATGGTTTATTATTATGGTTACTAATAATGTGAAATAAAGGTACTATAAAGTTAATTTATTTAGCTACTTAAATATGCCCATGTGTCATATCTTTTGACTCAAAGGATATTTTTTACGGTTTCATAATAAAAAAGTCTAGTTTTTCATACATCTATCGATCCATACTAATTACATTGTTGGCGGAGCTGGCTGTGTTTTGCCCAGTGTCCTTTATAATTTAACACTGTTTTAGGCGGTATTGATTATAAATGAGTTGAGATTCAAATTCAGCGGGCCGAAAACCTCCGGACTGTTAAAAGAAAGTAGTTTGACTAGATGTGTAATTATACTGTTTTGATCGCCAGCTCCTCAAATGATTAATGTTTATTGTTAGAAGGATGTCGATTTATTACCGTGTTATTGGATTTTGTAATCTTTCGGTAAATTAATTCTTTAATTCTACAAATATCTACATGTAGCAGTGAATCCTTCATGATCAGCTTAACTCGGCAGTTTCCTCTAGTGATCACTAAATCAACCATGTCTCAGAGGCCTACGCTAAATTTGCTGAAAATTTGCATGTCAGTGTTTTGACTTGATCGCGATTCGATCGATCTTCTGAACCAGCAGTGATATACAGTAAGAAAAAACTCAGTTTTTTAATTTGCCGGTGTGCTTTGTAATAAATGTATTTCTAAAGAAAAGTTTTACTAGAAAAAAATCCACGCGGACCAGGCAGCGGACGGGACTCGAACCCGTACCCTTCGCAATCCGGGCGAATGCACTGACCAATTATGCTACCACGGCCCTGATGGCCGCGTCGAAATTTCCCTAGCCTTAAACTGCAAGGCAGCGCCATCTCTTCGCATTATAGGTAGCCCACAATGTCTAATGAATACTTTTTCAAATATTAAACATTTGAAAGAAGAAATAGCAATTATAGTTATGTTTTTATCTTTTTAAGCATTAACTGCTAGATGTTAGAAATCTATAGAAAAGTTTTACTAGAAAAACTTTTAATTTATTTATTTATTTATTTAATAGGTACAAAAACAGGGTGCAGTTATTACATGGTTAAAAACATAGATCTGGTAAAAATATAAACTGCCATCCACAACAGTGTACACAGCATAACTAAAATTATGGCAAAATAAAAACAAAATAACAAATTGAAAGTTTGTAATTACTGTTCTAATTTTAAATCACACCGCAGATTCTGAGGTGAAAAGTGAGTTTGATCTACAGGAGTAGCTTAAATATTAACATGGTACTTACAATCAATATAGTTTAATTACACACAAAATATCCAATTTTTTCAACTAATTATTCTGAATCAATCAAATTTATCAAAGTGAAATTCAAAATTTATAAACATTAACTTTAATATCAAAAAGTATCACTGAGATATAACCATAATAATTATATTTTATTTCAGACCATGTGAATATTTTGTTAGTAACAATATCACTTAAAAATTATGTTAGAATATATTATAATAAATTAGATAACAATGACAGTTAC